TATAATGGTAATAACAATTAAATATAAAAATGATATTCACGAGTGGGTAAAATTTTCTTTGAAAAGAAGAGGGGGTGATACTTTACTTACCACTGTTGCAAAGCATCAAGTAACAATGATAGTAAGGCAACATGAAGACCAGTAGCATAATCAGACAAAACAGATCCACCTTCCAATTCATCCATCTTGCCCTACAGCCAATAGGAAGAGCTGTCACGTTCAAACAACTTATTTGTAGTACCACAGCCTCTATAAAACTCAAAACTGAAAAACTTATGGTAGCATCATCATGAAGCCATTTTTTTAACATTCGACACAATTGTAACTTACCTGACCTTATATGTGAAACATAAGGCAACCTAGAAACAAATATTTATAGCATCTAAGTTCAACAGAGTGAAATCACGAATGTCAGTAGAAAGATGGATGCATCCAGAACGAAATACATTAATATAATAAATAAGAACACGATCAGTTTATAGCATTTAACTACTGCAATTTTCAGACTAATGTACCGTCAGAGAAAACAAATCCACATTCCAATTCATCCATCTTGCCCTACAGACAATAGGAAAGACTACCACAATAAAACCACTTATATGTAGTACCATGAAGTCTCCGGGAAAGGAAAAGAATGATGGTAGCATCATCGTGAAGCCTTTCTTTATCACATTCAACGCCATTGTAAACATTACATGAAACATTAACTCATTCTAGCAACTATTCTTTATAGTGCCTAAGTTCAACCTAGTGATCTCGCAAATGTCGGTAGAGAAAAGGGGTATCCAGAATAAAATACAATAATTTAATCGTTAACACGTGCGATTTTCAGATTAATATTAGAACAGCAATGGAAATAACGTTGTGAATAGCTTACTCTTTGGATAGAATAGGAATGATCTCGAAGAGCACGAGCTGGAACAGGTTGCAAGAAAAGGCAAAAACGACGCTGAAAATGATCTGAACCAATGCCCGTTTCTCTTCGTACTCTTTGTAAAGCCTCCGGTTCAAGAACCACAGCCCCGCCCATCCAAGCAACAACAACGACCCCACCGCCACCACTCCTTCGAACGCCGTCCTTCCCCAGCCCATCTCGATGCGATTCACACCAATCACACTCAATTAACCAATCAATTTATCTTATTGCTGTTAAGAGTTATATTCACTCTTCGTTCTAGGTTTCCTATTTCATCTCGTTCTTTTCATCATTTGCCAGTAAAGGGCGACGCGCTTTCTCTCTACTTGCACGATTTTGCCATACTGCAATCAACGCTTTTAGGGTACTACTGTTCTTTCTTCTTTTCCGTTTTCAGTATATTCGAGGGATTTACTCATACTAACAGGCCTATATTAAAGAATTTCTGAAAACAGCCTAGCTTATACTAACTTTAAAAATTGGGGAATTTTTATTTTTTTTTAAGACCTCTATTTTCCTGTCAAGTTGAATTAAGGCCTCTTAATATATATTTGGTAAAAAAATTTTGGGGAAGAATTGATTTTAAATAGTGATGTTGACCCCAAAAAGTGTAGTCAACAGATGTCGGGCCCACTCTTGCCTCGTCGAGCAATAATCCGGCACGTTCCTACCGGAACAAGAGCGGTAGCGTAGTTGGAAAGGGTGTGGAAGTTGCTTTTCGACAAACGACACAACTCTTCAAACTCCGGCAATTTTCTTGGTGCAACCCTTGCACTATCAACAAGGGCCGGATCGACTTTCTTTAAATGAGTGCCTGTTTTGTTATGGAATATGTGGAAGGATAGATAAGATCTAATGATGTTTTATGTTGGAATCTTGATATATTTGCTATGATGTTTGCGAAATATCTAAAGAACAAAATATGTGAATCTTCTTCAATATCTGCTTTCCATGAGAATGATGGTATTTTGTGTTTTATCGTTTGATTTTCCAGATCCAACCCCCTAAATCTATACAAATGAAGACTATTTATACTGTCCAAACGATGTATTGACCGTCGGATCAGATCCACGTGGCAACATCTTCTAAACTGAACTCTCACATCACATTTAATAGTTGATAGAAGTCAGCCGCACTAGGAATAGGCTGACATTACCATGGAAGAGTTACTGACACCTTTACGACAGACGTCCCATCAATCGATTCAAATAAATCTTCGAATCTGTTGACGTGACGCCGGCTTATGGGTTCCGAATGACCTTGTAGTAGCCTCGGATCGTGTTGTGTTTTGAATGAGTGCATCAAGTCCGAGGTCGTTCACATGGGACCTTCAACCCGAGGCTCCTTGGAATGAAGCCCATGCTATCTTCGGGGGACCCTTCATATCATGTTCGTGGCACATGATTTCGGCCTAATGCCTTACTGGGGTTTTTGACATACTGGGCCCCCTTTGACTTTCTGTTGACTGTCCTGCCTACGTGGCCTTGCTCCTTTAGACCCCGGAATCGGTGGGTAACAAGTGATATGATGGGAAATGTGTGGTTGAAAAAAAAGAAAAATTATTTATTTTATGGAAAATATTATTTTATTGAATAATGTGTGGTTGAAAATGAGAATTGATTTACTGTAGCAAAATGAGAATCCCAACCAAACAAGCCATTAATAAAGGTCATTTCACATGGCCAAAAGCTATTTCTAAGATTAAAAAACTGTTTTTGAATATGATTAAATAAATTTTAAAAAGTGTTTTGTACGATTAAAATAAGTTTGATAAGAAGTTGATTTAAAATACTTTTCTTCAAAAACTTTTCTACGAAAACGGAAATCATAACAAAGGAGTCCTAAAAACATCAAAAAATCTTAAATGCCCCTAAAAAAAAAATTCTACATAGGTACCCAATATGAAATTTCATATCGCTTGGGGGTATAGAGGATGCAAAAAATGAAAAGTCATTAGGTTCATTCAAAAGTCGAGGGACCTAATAGGTGATGGGAAAGACCTTTTGTTTATTTCTAATAGACCTAGAAGTATTATAAAAGCGATGAGAAATGTATATTCTAAAGCACGTCATGTGCGTTGCATCCGGCAACTGCAAAATAATATAAAGGCGAAATTTGGTGCAAGTAACATTTTATCACTGTTTAAGTTGGTAACTAAGACATATAGTTTGGTGGAGTTTAGAATATTTTGCTCAGATATATAGAAAATATAAGAAGGTTGGAAAGTACCTACAGGTAGCGTATTTTTTTGATACGAGGTCCTCGCCTGACTTTAAATATTGGGTTAGGGTACAATTTCAAGAGCGGCAAATAATGCAGAGACGTTGAATTCACTATTCAAGAATAATTGTGAATATTCAATAATTTCATTAGTTAAAGACGTCATAATAACAATGCAGAGATGGTTTTACGATAGACAAATAGTGGCAGACCAATGTGAAAGCAATTTAACCCCAAATATGGAGGAGAAATTATAAGGGAAGTTTGATAATTCTAAAACAATGAAATTGAGTTCCATGTGCATGAATCGGTTTCAACTTTCAAGTGGGTGACAACAACTATTGGTACATGGTGAACTTGTACGAAGATGGTATACACATTTATGCATTCGCTTAGAATATGGTATCTCTGTATGATACCAAAGCCACTCATCTCATTTCGCATAAGTAGTTATTGGGAACAAGAATATTCTACCCTAATATACCTTGTGGAAAATTCAAGTTTAATCGAGCATGTCAAGTCAGAAATCGTCATGCCATCATTAATGCTCATACCTAAAAAAAGGATTCACTCTAATAGAGAAGTAAAACACTTTCATAAGTACATGTGTGGTTCAAGTGGCCACAATCATCAAACTCGTTCGAATTCAATACCATTTTCTCACACAAAACCTCTTGATTGATTTTATGTAAATAGTTATCAAAAATTAATATATTGCATTTTTATTGTAATAATTGTAGGTAAATGGTTGTTATTAAGCTGGTTGAGAATTTAAGCAAATCCATATTAGACTACATGATATAAATTAGTCAGTTTTGTAGCAAATGGACATGGTGTTTAATCTTTCTTTTTTCTTTTCCTTTCATCCATCGGACAGCCCAAGAAAATGCATTTTATTGCTTTTGTGGCTAATTTTCCCTTTGTTGTACAACCAAACACCCTTAGATTAACAAGTATATGGGACTTTGTTTGAAGGACTTCTATTAATCAAGTATATGGTCGTGCTAGCAGTTTCATCCAAAACCGTTTAGACAATCCCGAGCTCAACAATATATGCCTTTCCTTATTTAGAATGGTACAATTCATCCTCTCGGTTCATTGTGCCTAGGGGTGAACTCGGCATTTTGGTGTAAAATAAAATTATTTTTTTAGTAAATTTTAATAAAATTCGATGAATCACGTGGTTAAAAAGTTACCAATCCTATGAAATATATTATTAAAACTAATTGTTATTTTTTATTTGAAATTTTAATTTATTTTAAAATAGGGGCATTGTACTTCATAAATTTACTTTTAAAAATTGTGTTGGGAAAAACACATAAACGAAATGCTCAGAGATTAAGCCTTCATTTAGTAAAGATTAAAATTAGATTTTTAGTAAATTTCGATAAAAATTGATGAAATATGTGGTTGAAAAGTTGTGAAACTTATGAAACATGTGATTGGAATTGATTATTGACTTTCATTTAAATTAAAATTTGAATTTAGTTGCTCGTTTGGTAAAGATTAAAATCCAATTAAAATTGAAAATATAGTCTTTATTGGATCTCACTCGTCTAATAAAAATGATGGCTAATTTTTTAGTTTTAATCTGATTTTAATCTATATCCAACGCGCACGTTAAGCAAGGTGACGAGAAGGCAGACTGGGCCACGCGTACGCTAAGCGCCAAAAACAAAAGCACATCTCATCCCATTCCTCCCAGACACCAAAGTACCGCGTCGCATGAAATGAAAGCGCCACTAAACACTAGCTTCGTCTTCTTTGCTGTAGGGTTTCGCCCAATTCATTTTCGCATTCTAATCCGGAAGATCACAAGTTAGGGTTTTGCCCCGAAGAACAAGAGAACGATAATACCATCGAAATGGCAACTCTAGGAGGCTTGCGCGATTCCGCTACTCAGAATAGCCTTGATATCGATACACTTGCCCGATTTGCTGTTGACGAGCACAACAAGAAAGAGGTATTTTTCTTTTCTTTTTTTCGTTTATAAATATGCTCTGTTATGTGCATGTTTGGCTACCTTTAAAAATAATTATATAAGTGTGCTTATTTGTAAATCTTAAAATAAAATAATCATTTTTGGTTGATCGAATTTGAAAATGAGTAACTAGTAACTCCAGATTCAGTAATAAATAACTAAAATTTTACGTATTAAAAAATGTTTTAAAAATTGTTAATCGAGTAAGTTTGGCCAGATAGACAGATCCGCTGTCAATGCGCACTTTTGGTAATTGGTAAACAATTAACCTGTGTATTATTGTGATTTGTGAATAAATTGTTATTATACCGGACAGAACTATTAATCAATCTGCTGTTTTGGTTTCTACAAATTATAACTTCCTCTGCACTTCGACTTGAGTGAACATAAATAGTCTGCTGAGCATGTTTCTTCGTAAGTTAAGTTATGAATGTTCATATCCTTCCAGAATGCACTGCTTGAGTTTGCGAGGGTTGTAAAGGCGCAAGAACAAGTGGTTTCTGGTACTTTGCATCATCTTACGCTTGAGGTCATTGAATCTGGGAAGAAGAAACTTTATGAAGCAAAGGTTTTTGTTAAGTCGTGGATGAACTTTAAGGAGCTACAAGAATTCAAGCATGTCGGAGATGTTCCTTCCTTTACCTCCTCTGATTTGGGTGTCAAGAAAGGTAGTTGACCAACCATTTGGTGTCTTTCACTTTATCTCAATAGAATCCATGGACTCCACAAAATCTATTATTATTAT